AATGAACTAGACATCGAATTATTTGATCTAGCCTATTCTACAACATCTTTCAAAAATGGAAAAAATGATGTGAGAAATAGATGTAAAATAAAAAAGTTGGACTGAAAGAAAATGCTGGAGAAATTTTCAATAAAATTTCGAATTGCATTTAAATATTTTAGACTGTTCCCGAACGATATGTGATTATGTTGTCATGGCTTACGACATTTGTGAGAGGAATTATCTTCGAGGCAGAACGTGTGAAAGTAACTGTTCAAAGTTTAATTGCTGACGCTGATGAAGAAAAACGAGATGGATGTGAAATGCAAAATGCGCTTCTTCATACTGCTCTATTCCACAAGGGTATGAGTTTTTGAAAGTTGAAATGTGAAAACTAAAACTTACTTTTGATTAAGAGTTCATTTAATGAATATTTTTTTTTTTTTTTGGTAAGAAATATATAAATTTCTCTTGCACTGAAATTTAATTCAGAAGAATATTCACTAACATTTTTTTGTTTTTCACAAATTGTTTGTAATTTTACAGATAGCAATTATATGTGTGGTTTAGTTCAGTTGGAGGAGTTTCATAAAAATGTACTCATGTTAACTAAAGAAAATCCTACCTACGTAAGTACTCCTCTATTCTTTGCTATGTTTGAACTTCTCGCATAAAAATTTTCAAACAAGCATTTTTGACTATTCATGCAAAATCTGCTAAATCATTTACAAAAAAACCAATGAAAATTTCAATATGTGACTATATTTGAAAAAGGGGCATTGAATGACTGACAATGCTAGCATGTTTTATCAAAAAATTCATTCTATTCTCTTATTTGTAGGTTATCGATAAATTGGAGAAATTGCGTGAAGCGTTAATGAATGCTCCGATAAATCTACATATTATTTGTAACACGGAGAAAATTATGCCTTTCTTACCGACTAGTTTTGCATGGCTGTATCGTGATCGTAAATTTAATTGTGAGCTTTCCAGAAATTTTCGAGTAAGCTAACTTTTTACATGTACCTACAAAAAAATATTTAAAATATGTTTATCATTACTAAAAAATCGTAATCACTAAAAAGGAAAAATGAAACTTAAATCAGTATTCTTTCATATTTTTTCAAGAATTCATATCATTGTTCTCAAGCTTATATATATATATATATATATATATATATATATATATATATATATATACTCAGTGTGCAAAACTCTGCATGTTACTATGCATAATACATCTGTGATTTGCAAACTGACTTTTTTTCTGCTAATTTTAGAATTTGCCTGGAGAATCGGTAATATATGATAACTTTGGAAAGCAACGTGTTATTGCTGTTGGCGCCACTGAATCATCCTTTCTAAAACAGGTATATTAATTTAATTCGTTATTTCTAAGGAATAGAAAATAAAATATCTATTTCGAAATTGAAATTGACTGAAAATTAGATTTCAATATTGAGAAAATATCGAGATGCAATATTTGAAATCAAAGTGTAAATTTAAGTTGGAGTTAGTAATCAAAGAATTTAATGTGTAGTGATGGAATCATAGATATGGTTTGATATGATTTTTTTCGTTATAAGAAGGATTGGCTGTCTGTATTTTTGAAGTTACCAGATTTAAATTGAATTTAGAGATTAATTATATTGATTATCATGTGATGGCTTGTAGTTTGAGATGTTAAAATCATGCTATTTTATCATTCCACAATGATTGAGGGTTATCAAAAAAGAATTTTTTTGACTTAAGTGATTTTCTTTTTTGAGAGAATAAATAATTGTTGAATATGTCGTATAAGTATTTTCTACCTAGCATAGCGTATCTGACTGGAGCATTGTTAGCTAAGAACATTTAATCATCAAAAGTTAAGACATAATTAGATGAGATATATTTTAGTCTTGTGTTGCAGTTTTTAATTTTATTTCTGTTTTGTGATTAATTAAATAAACAGCTGTTTTGCATAATAAAGAAAATTTGTTACTAGGTTTATTGGACAGATAATGAGTAGTAGTGATTTGGCAAAAATTTATGAATATTTTGCAGTCTATACCATTCAAGTATCAACTGGGTAGCAAGGAAGGATTAGCTGTACAACTCATTGCTCAATATTTATCACAAATGGAAGGTACCTTGTTTAAAGCGATACGTGGAAATGGCTTAGCATATGGTGTGGATATTGAAGTAGATATGGATAATGAGCTGCTCAGTTTTAGCATCTATCGAAGTTCTCAACTCGAGCAAGCTTATGAAGAAGCTAAGAAAGTTGTGGTTAGAATTTTTTTGCTATTCAAAATTCAGAATTTTCATCTCAAAAAATTTTATCACTTAAATTTCATTCGTGCTTCATGATACTAATGGTACGACTTATTATTTAGTTCAATGAATTTGAACACGTGGATGAAGATGAGTTTGAAGCAGCGAAGCGAAGTCTTGTATCAAAAATAGTGCAAACCGAAGATACAGTAATTAATGCAGCACATCGAGCTATTTTCAATGAATTTCGAGAATTACCACCTCAGTTTTGGCGGTAAGCTATTTTAAGATTATCAGGTAGTGAACTATATTGTTAGTGTTGTGATTATGTCAGTAAGTTAAATATAGAGGCTGCTTCAGTTATTACTGAATAATAACGTTTATTTAGACCAAATTGAGGAAGAAAATTTATCATTGTTGAAAGAGGTATCATTTCTTCTTTATCAATCGATTATGTAAAAATAGAACATGTAGATGAATACTGAGGTGGATGATCTATAGGTGTATCGAAGCTTGATTTCCAGGGAAAAGGATTAAGAAGTTTTCATTTTTAAAGTTATTATTGTTGGCTATTATTTATAAGTGTAATAATGTTTTAGTATTCCTTGTATTAAATACTTCATATTTGTCAATTTAGAGAGTACGTTGAGCGTATCTGGAATGCATCAATGAAAGAAATGGTAGAATGCAGTAGAAATTTTGTCTTTGATTTATTCGATGATAAGAAATGCTGCCGTGCGATAGCTGTACCACACGGAAAATTGAAAGATATTGAAAAACATTTTGAAGGAATTGAAGTGGTCTGCTTTTCAGATCTACATGTAAAAACTGCTTAACTTATAAATTTGCTGGCAATTCTTGTTTTCTGGTAGAGTTATTTAATCTGGGTTAATGAATTAGGAATAGCAAATTTCGAACCCTGTTATTTTTAACGAGGACTGAATATTATGTAGTCTGAATTGATATGATTCAAATGTATTTCACAAATAATTACTGCAGAGTTTTATCTCAATTCATTTGCTCGCCCATGTGAAAAGCTTATTCTTAATGACAAAAATTGCTGAAGAGCTCAAATATGATTTTAGTAAGCATCCAAGGTATTCCCATTACTGCACATTTGTGCATGTGCACATTCTCGTTATTTTACCATTTTACAATGTGTAATATCATATCAAATTATGTTGCAGATTTTATCTTTTCAGTTTTCATTGAAAATTTCATTCTTAATAAGTCTTTCATACACCACAATTTACAAATCAGGTTATTCTATTCTTCCACAGTATTTCCTACAATTTTATACTAATTTCGATCTTTGCATGATAACTTCCACACAGAATCCCTTGCGATTCATTGGATCATCATTCTTCTCGATGATTCATTTGTGATATGGAAATTATCGATAAATTTAAATACATTTTCTTGCTATTCTGCTTTCATTCGTTATTATTACTGATGTTTTGTTGTTTCGGAATGTTTGCTCTTTTGTCTTAAATCAATAAAATCAATTGAACTGTTCAGAAAATTAATATATTTATAAGGATTTAATTTAAACCATTTTTAGTGAAACATCAAACATTACTCAATATTACCTACACAATAATAGATTAAAATTTGAATACAAGAAAGAAATATACTTATTTCTACTTTACAATTAAACAACTGAGACAAAATATCAAAGCAAACTTGTTGACCTTTCCCCTTTAACCTTCGCCTCGTCTTGCACTCACCCACACCCAACAAGCACGAGTGGTTCGACAATTGCCGTAAGCTTTTTCGCTGCTACAAACGCCAGGCTCTCGACATAGTGAATGTAATCGATACCGTATCCTTCCTCTTTCATACGTGAAGTAGCGTATGTGCGTGGAGCTTTGACGTGTTTGTGAGCTGTATGTGACGTGAACTTTGAATTAGAATTGAATAAGTGGTGATTTTTTACAGATATATCATTCATAGCACATAATAAGGTTTAATTTGATCAGTGCGACAAATTGAGTGACGTGAATTCTTCATGTAACAAAGTGTAATATATCGGTTAAGTCGTAATATAGTGATAGAAGTAATAATAATCTTTGAGTTAAATCTCTCTGTTTGACGCAACAAATTGCATTATTTAATATCTAATTTAGTAGTAGCAAATGTATGTCTATCATATTTCTCTTCAACTATATTGCGTTTTAGTGTTAAGGAAATGATCACTTGTTTTTTTTTTTTTTTTTTTTTTTTTTTTAATTAAGCGTTCAGAATGAATTACTTAAATAAATTTAGCATAGTTATTATTAGTGCACTATGTGAAGTTAACATTATGTAAAGTTATGTGAATCACCATTTCCTATGTGTGATATTTGTTCCATACCCTTCTGTGTTTCTTATTGTGCTACCAGTTATGAAATTTTTAAATAGATTTGCTTCCCTTGTTTGACTAGTATGAGGAAAAGGATATCATACAATAAATCAAAGTAGTATATAAAGTATGTTTTCGAGTTAAATGTATCGAAATTTCTTTGTAAGTGCTAGTGTTCTCACTTAATTAGAAAAAGTATTTGGCATACGTTTACTGCGTTATGTACAATAAGCTTTCGCGATCATTACCAGATCACGTTTGATGTGTAACAGTTGCAAATGCTCTGTCCGTTGATTTCAGGTTTTGCCTCATATTTTATGCATCAAAAAACACCGAATAAATTCCGTACGATTTAAGGGAGGAAATTATCCAGTATAGGACTGATCCAAAAACAGTTGATCAGAGAGGAGATTTGTTTCTGGAAATGGAAATGTATGCCAATGGATTAATGGAGGAAAACGGTGGGACAGCTGTCACAGCAGTGGTAACACCTGCAACCACTGCAGCAACGCTAGATCTTTCGGCGCAACAGAACAGTTTTATTTTCGGAGTTACAGATGATAAAGTATGACATTTCAATTGCTTTTAAATTATAAACAAAGGGAATGGAGGAGTTATGCCGTTCGTGGAATGGCAATGCATTGCAGAGGAATGATGTAAGCAGATGGGAGATATAATAATATGCTGGGAAGAAAATAAAGCATAAAGCATGGTTACTTCTTAGCGTTCTTCAGCTTAGATATACATTTGTTACTCAGACTCTTTTGTTTACTACAGAAATTCTGAGAATATTTAGTTTTTTCTTTTAGATTTCGTAAAGAATGTTTATCTATTGATGTATGAGTTTTTTATTCTGTTTCTTCGATTTAACGTTTCTGATAAAAATTCAAGAGTTTTTATGGAACTCTGCAATACATGTTTATATTGGGAAAGACGGTGTTTTTTTTTTTTTTTTTTATAGACGATTGAGATAAAATTCGTCATTTGCCTCTAGACATATATTCCAGCAAAGTACTACTAATGTTATTATTAACTTTTTTCATGTCAAAGAAAACTTGAAGTATGTATGACTGTTTGTAATGCAAAAACAACCAACGAAAAATTATTGCAGTCGGAAAGTCCACCGTCACTGAAGGAGGATAAGAATACAGGGGGTACTTCCACTGCGAATATAGCAGGAAATGAAATAAATTCGGCGCGATCGCCCAGCCCATTACTTGATGTTGGAGTAATACCAAGTGTTGACAGTTCTCTTTGTCCGTATTGTGGCAAGCAGTATAGAAAGGTAATGAAACTGTATATATTCTTCCCGTCCAAAGATATTTTTAAAATTTCTGAAATTTTTTGTTGTTTCGCAAGTAGTGAATAATGGACAATATCAATACGATGTGAAGTTTTTCAAATTTCAAATTTCCGGAATTTACTTTTGTATTAAAAAGTGAAAATTTGTTCTGCCAAACATTTGTGCAAATTAATATTTTCTTCATTTGATTTTAAGTATAGATTCATTTCTCATTTATGTTTCTGGTTTCTGGCGTTTATGTATGTCGATTTTAGCCGCGAGTATTGGATTGTCTTCATTCAATGTGTGAAGACTGCATAATAGCCCAGCTGGATGGACGGCGAGAGGGTGAATCAGAGCGTGCAAGAACCGTACTTACAATGGATTTCGAACTGGAAAGCACGTGTGAAATGAGGCCGACGCCACCGGGAGTCATTAGATGTCCGACATGCCATCAGGTTACTAAATTAGTCTTTCCATCGAGTAATTTTAGCATAAGTTGGCAAAATAACGTTTTTTGCTTTTGTTATTCATTCCTAGCATATTTATTGAGTACTAAGAATCCTGAAAAGCTCAGGTATTATCCAGATGCGATGCTAAATTACATAGTCTTCCATTATTTCCTCATCTTCATTATCTATCTTTAAATATTTTTAAATGCGCTTATCTTTATTTGTCTTTTTTTCTCCCGTAGACTAATCATTATTCAAATGTTTCAGGAAAGCCATGTAGGAAATGATGTCCGATTTGTGAATCATCTTTTGCTTGATTTTGTTCGCTTGCATGAAGTTGATGGTAGCGTTGGAAAAGGTGCACGTAGCTGTCGTGCATGTAAGAGTGAACAGCTTGCGATGGCTGTTTGCAAACAGTGCGCAAGTGACTTATGCAAGAATTGTTATCAAGCACATCGTGACATGAAATTATTCGATGGACATACGGTATGAACTGAGTTTCACTATGCAACTCAGTGTCCCTCATTTTCTGATGATAGGAAGTGATACAAATATTGTAATATGCGAGCTCTTTTTGACATATTTATAGGTCTAAGCAATACAAATATTTTTTATAATAGATACTATGAATAGGTATTAACGTACACGGAATTGGCGCAGAATCCATCAGAATTGCCTCGTGATCCAGTTATGTGTGTATTGCATCCGCAAATGCCATATTCACTTCTCTGTGCCACTTGTGAATCACCGATTTGTGGACAATGCCATGCGGAGCATGCGGACATCAGACATCATAATTTGGTAAATATCGATGAAACAGTTGCTAATTTGGTCAGACTTGAACTGAAGGATATTGCGAATGGAGCGGAAGCCAAGGTTAGATGTGTATATTAGCGATGGAAACTTATTTTGCAATTGCTAATTGTCAACTCTTCCAGAAAGGATAGCCGGTTTACTGATCGACCAGAAATATTTGTCACTGTCGATACTAACTTCATTGTTTCTGTCCCTTTTTAAGCCATTACACTTTAAGACTAGATTGTGATTTATTGAACAACATTACTTAATTTTATATTTTACAGTCAAAAACTGTAGAAGCCGCATGTAATTCTGTGCCAGCTCGCCAACGCGTTCTTACTGAGCAATATGAAGCAATCAAAGCAGAAATAGATGATACCTTCAGTGATTATCACAAGGCATTGGATGCAATGAAGGAACAGTTGTTACATAAACTGGATAAATCACGTGATGACCAGGAAACCGATCTGAATAATCTAAATCGACGGGTTAATGTCACCACTGTAAAAATTGCTGATGCTGTCGCGTAAGTATATTGAATAAGACAATTTAGGAATGCTAACTTAAGATTAAATTGAGGGCTTCATTAGAAACAGAACTCATGATCGAAAAGATGTTGTAGGACTGGTCATTAGATCATTTTATTCAATCATTCTCCTAGTTGATTCAAAGCGAATGATAATATGTTCTGCTTAAAATTGAAACACTTTGTATTATATTCTATCTTTACTCGACTGCTTATTATTTAGGATTGATTCAGTTTCTTTTGTCAAAGATTTGTTCATTTTTCTACATTGTCATAAAAAAAAAAGAACGGATTACTTCAATGATATGTTACAGTTTTACACATCGGATTGTGGAAAAGGGTTCTGCAGTAGAAGTTTTGGTGAGTCGAAAGAAAATCCGTCAACAACTAACAGCTCTTACACGTAGTATGCCTGATATGAGTAGTACAACGGAACTTACATTCAGCAAGACTCCATATGTCCAGTTTTACAACAAATTGAGCAGCATTGTTGGTGATATCAACAGTAAGTTTTGTATATTGAAAAGCTGAAATTTGGAGGGTCATTTTCTAGGATTACTAGTAGTGTTGAATAACTGTAGTGAAAAAAATTAGCACATGCTGGTTCTGGTGCTAGTCATGCTGAATTTAGTTGGATTTTCTGTAAGTTTAAATATCACTAATCAAGTTTTTCCTGTTTTTTGGTAGTTAACTTCCTTTAATTTTATTTTTAAATCCTATTTTTTAATCATAAAAGCTAGGAACATGTAGATTGTTTTTTCTTCAGTAATTCCATCGCTTCTTCTGTATTTTCTCTTTTATTTTTTGCTTTTGTGAAATGCTTAACTGTTTTTCTTTATTTCTTTTTTTTCTTTTGTTTTTTTTTTGTGTGTTTAGTCCAAAATACCTGCATTATGTTCGATTTTCTCCAGTCCATTCTGGCGGATTTTTTTTTTTGCTGCAGTGGAGAAGGAAATTCTATAGAAGACTGTAGGCTGTGTCGAGAATGGGAAGAGACGTTTTTGCAGTAGTGATGGGGGATTATTCAAAAAATTCTTGATGTAATTACATGGTTAAATTTCAGCACGTTTAGTGTCTGATGTCGGAAAGGCAGATGTGATGATATCATCACTATTATCTGACTCTAATTCCGTGAAACAACTTAATGCAATACGCGCTTATCCATCGGATAACTCACCAACGCAAACATCAGCATCTGGAAGTCTGTGTACAACACCTGCACCTATTGGACAGTGTTCGTAATTCATTTAGTATTACTTGCATGCTTTAATTAAATACTGATTTTTATCATATATATTTTATATGACATGTATATTCTTTGTAGGTTTCATGATTTCATAATTTGAAGGTAGAGATGTATGAAGGGTGGATAAATGGAAAGAGAGTGTATATTTATATATATATATATATATATATATATATATATATATATATATATATATATATATATATATATATATATATATATATATATATATACGACAGGGTCATATTCGTACATATAATAAAATTAAAATTTAACTTTATCTCGTGGTCATATTTGATGCAAACTGTTGAATGATCTTTCAGGTTGAGTTGTCTGATTTCGAGTATTATTTGGTTTTAAAATTCAATGATTAACCAAAGCAATTTTGAATATGTGTTGGTTCAAATTATAGGTTAAAATCCAATCTTATTTTAGCTCGTGGCCCAGGAGCAATTGGTATGGAACGTCGCAATAAGCCGACCACCACTTCAACAAGCAGCTCAGTTGTAGATTTTACCGATGGCTGGCCACCATCTAGTATACCGCCGGAGCCTAGCAGCCCTTCTCCAACTGTTGATTTTCAGGTTGTATTAAATTTTGTATTAAATAATGTATTAAATTAGGTGGGCTGCCGAACAAATTTTGGAACTTCCGAAAGGTGTTATAGCTGTGAAAAATGCAGATCAAACGCTGAATCTAAGATTAAGTTTCCGACGCTTTCCTTATGAATGGTTACTGATTTATATACTATATTGTTAAAAACAATACAAATCACTTCTTACCATTCATTACTAATTAGTGTTTCAGGGCAAGAAAAGTTCATTAGAAAATAGTGGTATCTCGTCTTTTTATAGTTGGCCACCGAGTTCAAATCCACAATCAGAAACACGTGTCACTGGACCATCCGCACTACCTCTTCCACACGCCCCGGTTGCCAATTTGGCTACCGGAAAACAGTTGCCCATAACAACAAATAATTTTCTGATGCCACGAGGAGTGAACTCATGGGTGGTAATTTTTCGTATCGTTTGTATTATTCAGCTATATTTTATATGTTTCCTTTCTCATTGCTAGGTGAGGAAAAATTGTAGTGATATTAAGAAATGAAAAATACTGTGAATTAAGAGGTGTATTTGATATATTATTTGTAAAGGTACTTTTTTCTTATAACCTTTCTCATATCTGTTTTATGACCTCAGGTTTACCGATTCAGTTTTTGGTAGATGGAACGGTGTAATTCAGTAAAGTCAATTTACAGGCTCAAACCACTGCTTTAACTGGTGCAGCAGCAGCAACACAGTTGGCTAATACTGCATTCCCAATTACAGCAGCTGCTGCTGCTGCTGCACGGCAACGCTTGGAACCATTACTTGATCCTGCAACCATTCGTTTAATTTCTCAACTGGATACTGCATCTTTTGCATCGTTGCAATCTGCATTTGGTCAAACTATTCCAGCACTCGGTCGTCAATCGCAACTTGCATCACCCTTGGAAGCAATTCGACCCGTTGGAATGGCTGGCATTTTGGGTGAACATCATTATGTGCCGCTAGTGAGGCTTTCATCTCTGCAATTAAAGCAGTTCACAATCACCAGTTGAATTTGATAATATAGTTAAAAGACGTATTGGAATAGCTTCTTCCTTGTTTTTATTGTGATATTTCTTAAAATTTAATAGATGAATAGTGTATTTGGCATCATTGGCTCTATGAATTTCCGTTTTTGTTTTTTTGTTTTTTTTTTTTTTTTTTTTTTGTTTTTTTTCATGGAAAATGACATTTAACTGCTTAGGGAATACCGCCAGCCGTACGTTCATCTGCAAAAAATAACGCCAGTGCATCAGATTTGTCACTTCGATGCTCGGTTGGAGGAGTGGGGTCGAACCCCGGGCAGTTTGGCTCACCACATGGTTTCTGTCTTGGTCATAATGAAGAAATTCTCGTCACAGATACAAATAATCATCGTATACAAGTATATTTTTAGCATTCATTTCCGAGATGAAAAAGTGAAGTTTCTATAGATTCGAGCTATCATAAGTAATAGTCTACAGGAAATTATACTAGTCGAATTGTTATTCTTAACTTGCAGGTACTATTATTACTTACTGCATATAGCTGTTACTGTTGATATGTATTACATACAACTCTTTTCTCTATAGATCTTTACGAAGAAAGGTGAATTCATAATGCATTTTGGAATTGGTGGTTCAGAAGATGGTCATTTATTTTATCCAAAGAAGGTCGTAGCATTCAGATCTCGAATAGGTGAAGGAGGTTACATTATTGTTGATAAAGGCGAAAACAAGGCGCGGCTACAGTTATTCTCAAAACGAGGCGACTTTATTCGACGTCTCCGTACGTTCATCATTACTGTTCATATTTTTTAATCCGAATACGATTTTTATATTTTGACGTCGATATTTGTTTCTAATTCAAATCAATCCAAAACTAACTAAATTTGTGAAAGAAAATCCAAATTTGATAGCTTTTCATGAAATTTCTGTTAAAATTCTTAATTTTGTTATACTTGTTTTGAACAGTACTTTCTTTCCTGTACAGGAATAAGGTGCATTACTGACTAGCAAATTAAATTGTAATTAAATTAAGGGTTGTATATTTACTGTTCTTTTTTTTCTTGTGTTGATTCGCCAAAAACCAATTTAACTTAACAACAAAAAAAAATAAACAATTTTACTTTCTTATTATAGAAACTCCTTATCTCGAGTATGTTTCGGCATTAACGGTAAACGAAGCATCACATCTAGTAGTATTCAGCAGCTCGGTAATGATGTTTATTCTTGATATCGATCTTTTGGAACCTCTGGTGCTTAAATGGAATGACTGTACTAAGGCAATTGGTGAACCATCCGATGTGGCTGTTTTCCGTGATAGATACTATGTCACCGATTACAAGAATCATTGTGTAGTTGCACTGAATAGCGATGGTAAGTTTTTTACAATTTTTATTAATAGTATGTGTTCGATGGAAGTGCATAAAACAACGAAGTCAATGGAGTTTCTTGTAACGCTCTTAAATTTCTTCTGTGTTTTGTATGGAATGAGGCTAGAACTATAAAGTTTCATTTTCTATATATATATATATATATATATATTTGCATTTCTTTATTTTCTGGAACATGTTGAATCTCCATGTCCACAGTCCCATTGAAAAAATATTTTAGGTGAGGTGCTCTGTCGTTTCGGATCCTTTGAGAGTACTCCATATCCGATCGGTGTTGATGTATCAACAAATGGTGATGTGTTGGTAGCAGATTCCCATGGCAATCATTTTCATATTTACTGTTGCGCAACTGATGGGCAGCGATTACAGGAATTCGAATGTTCACAGCTGAAGGCAAGCTATTTCAACTTTGTTGTAATAGAACTTTAATAAATTATTTCTTTCTCCTGATTAGATTGGATGAAATAATGAAATAAGTACATGATTTGGTAACTTAAATTATAAATTTTACAAATCAAAGTCTTCACCTCGCTTGCATGCAAAGTGGAGCCAGTAAAGCATATGGTGAATTTTATCTTATTTTTCAGGTTTCACGTTGTGTGGGACTTCGTCTAACGTCAGAAGGTTTTCTGATCTCAGTATCGAAGCACAACCATACATTACTTATCTTCAGTACAGTGTTCGTGAACCCCCCAGCCCCTCTTTAAGAAACTGTGTCAAATATCAAATTTCACTTCTGACAGCAATAGCAGCAGTAACTCGCTTAAATACTTTTTTCTTTTTCGGATCGAAAGCTATGCCAATTTGTTACGTTGGCTTCTGGATATCGATCATCAGTTTAAACCTGTGGTACATATAACGGTGCTCGTTCAAAGTTTGCCTTACTACTCACTTGTTCTTTTTATTTTTAATGCTTATAATTAAATATTTTATTTATAATGCAGACCTAAAGAAAATCTTGTTCCATGTTATCGTAGCACAGGAAATAGGTGAATGGCATATATCGGAAACATGCTAAGCTGTGATCCTCATAAAATGCAGCTTTGTTTGATTTATGGAGCATACGAAGTACTCAGGTTGTTAAAGTTAAATCATTTCAAATAATCCATCTCATACTCAAGTTTTCAATATATGCTGTAAAATTTTCGCTACGTTGCTCCAAGGATAAATTTGATGAGCACACGCATACATGTGTGTGATGTTTGCTTTTCCACCTTTTTCTGAAATGATTCTCTATTGTGATACAGAAATGTACGGCATGGTGCATGAGACTACTGTATATCAAACTTCAATTTATTCATTTTCTCTGTTGATTGCTTTTCTCCGTCTTTCTATTCCCTTCCATACTATTATTTCCAAGGTTTTTTTGTGCTAATTAATTAACTGATCAATTAATTGCTCTAATTTTTTTTTTTTTTTTTTTTTTTTTTTTTTTTGTGGATTGGGAGTAAGTTTATCTGATATATACCACGTTTTCTTTGAATTCCTTTCAGAAACCGTTTTTTTTTTTTTTTTTCGTTTCATTCGTTCATATTTACTGTCTTTTCAATTTCTTCTTTCTTGCCTTTTATTTAGCTTTTTTTTTTTTTTCGAATTCTGTTTTTCAAAAAAGAAATCTTCTCCAGTTTTGAAATCATTATTATCGTTTTGCCTTATTGAGTGCTCATTTTGTTTTGCATATTATTACAACCACTGTTTTATCGTTATTACATCCTGATCGGTTTGTTTGTTTGTCTTTTCTTGAAAATAATTCTACTGTTTCTCTTCTGATTTTGCAATTAAGTTTAGAACTGCTGGTTCTTTAAAAACTTTTACAGTTTCCTAATAACTTGTGTATTAGTGAAGATCTTTTTTTGAGAGCAGAAATTTATTAATCTTAGTTTGTAAAAAGTATGTTCCTGTAGTGCGGTCGTTTTTTTTTTTTTTTTTTTCAAGTTCAGATGGGATTCTGAAAAATAGGATCACTGAACAACACATGATGTGATACTTACAAATTAGTGAGCAAAACTATTTCAGTGGAATTTTTTAAGTAAAGGTGAAAATTTTTTTAATTTATAACTACTCAGTGTTTTGTTTTGTCTAAGTTTCGCAAACATTCTGCTTTACACATTTACAGGAAGAGAAATCAATCCATATACCGTTTCTTTCATTTGTTTTCTTTTTACTTTTCCTTCCTTTTTACTGTTTAGATTTTTTTTAAAAAAAAAAAAAAAAAAAAAAAAAAAAAAAAAAAAAAAAAAAATAAAAAAAACAAAAAAAAAATAGGGATGTTTTGAAATCATTTGTTTTTGAAATTTTGTTTCAGACTGTATTGATCTCATTTTTCAGCGTGTTGTCTTCAGATTTTATTTACTTGTCCATTTATCGTTATTTATGTATATTTATTCTCTCTCATTTCTGTAAAATTCGTTCGGGTGTTCATGTTTTTCGTATTGATGCGTAACTCGTTACGCACGTCATAAACACCTGTAAGCTGACATAAGAATGATATGAATTATTAAAATAGCTGCATCATGCATCACCATTTCTTCGTAGTGTAGATTTTTCCCTTCCGTGCTTTTCCTTTTGTACTTGATTATTTTGTTGTCATCTTGTCACTCATGCGACCTTTGTGACCCAGTTGTTTCGTTTTTCTTAAAACAGCAGAAATTTTTGTGTATATGCAAATTTGTCTAAGCTAGCTTGGTGTGAGTGATAACTATTTGAGTTTGACTTATTACAGTGAGGACAGGAAGCTAAGTGCAGAATATTTGGTAATTAACGTTAAATTAGTGATGTTCGGGTTCTCAATATTAAATTACGGAATTTTAGTTTTCCGATATGTTAAGAATTAACTGTTAAGCAAGTCTGAGTCCGAATTATGATATGATACGAAATCTCTTCTCTATGTGAGCGAAAACTATTACAACTTTCATTATATACTGCCATATGTCCATTATTACTCATCTTTCTGTTTGATTTTGAGCTTCCTGAAAGCCTCCCTGCGTTTTTCTCTGCATGTGCTATATTTGATACGTGAATTATCTTTCTCCCTTCATGTATTCATTTATGGGATAATATCGTTTGGCTAAAATAGGGTGGTGTAATGTTTTCATTTCATATAGTAATTAGGCTTAGTAAAACTATAGCTTTTCGTTGGAGTTGGTAAGATCGTTAAGTTTTAAATTAATAAATGTGTTTCCAGGTTATTTTAATAACTTTTTTTTTTTTTTTTTTTTTAATGAACTGCTTAAGGAATGCGCGACTTTTGATTTGTTAACATTTGAAAGAAAATTTTTTACTGTTCTGCAGCCGAGAAGTTTTTCCCGTCTACGCTACGATATATCATTCTTTTCTCCTTGTATATTCTCTTGATTATGTTTGTCAATTTTGTCAGCTTTATTGAGCCAAATACCCCAGTATATTCCATCATTCGTTAAATGTAGTTGTTCTTATCAGTAGTAGTTGTGGCCCTCGTTTTTTCCTAGCTTGCTCATTGTCCGGTTTTCATGTTATTACCTTTTACTTAATTTATATACACCTATGTACAATTAATGTTTTTTCTTCCTTCGTTTCTGATTATCGTTTGGTTAGGATGCATTTCAGGTCATTTGACAGAAATTGGCATAAGACACAACGATTTCATTTTTTTTAACCAAAAAGAAATTGATGAAATATACTGTCTGATGCGAACACAGTATTTAAAAAAAAATAATGAAATGAACAGGATTTATGATGAGACTTGATAGCATCTGTTCCGAATGATATGATGCAATCTGTTGACGGGAAGTGCATCCTCACTTATCTGAAAGGTTCACAATGACCATTTTTGTTTTTATATTTTAAATCTAAAAATTAAATTCCCCGCATCGTTTAATGAATAGTATTGGTTATTCTATTTATCTCTTCAAAAAGCAATGCATGCTTTTATTTATGTGAATAAATTGATATTCTGGTTAAAAATTTTAGTTAGATTTTGATTTTGAACTTGAATGCACTTACCGTATTGTCTATCCTCATTTTTAGCACATTTGTTCACTTTTTTATTTCCTGAAATCTTTTATTTTGTTTTAATTTTTCCACATTTTTGAATTCTTAGATGTTTCATTGCTTCTTTTCGACTTCAATTTTTCCTTTTTGTTTTTAATTTCATATTAAAACTTTAGATTATGGAACATATTATCATGGTATTTCTATTGCTTTGTAATAACCATGGTTAATTAGATTGTCATAAATTTCTCTTATTTCCAGTTAATTTTCTCTCTTTCTCTCTCTCTCTCTCTCTCTCTTCCTTCTCTTAAAAATCCTTCCAAGACCAAAAAAGACCAAAAAATTATTGTTTCAATATTTTTTGATGGTTCATTTATTTTCAGTATCTTTCTTTTTTCTTTTCAGTGATTTCTTCTGCTTTGTTTTTCTGCTTTTTATTACTAATTTTCTATCTTCAGCATAAATTATTTCAAATATGCACCAGTAAATGAATACCCAGGTGAATGCAATTTTGTAGTAAATGATTTATGTCTTCATCAAGAAAAAAGCCGCATACGCGGTTTATCGTCTTCGTAATATTTCTATCCCATATACATCTTTTTTTTTGGGATAGTATGCCTGTGAGTCGTTATCCGGAATTATTCCCATTTATCGTATATGGCTTAGTTTCTTGGAAGATGTGTTATCGAACCGTTGGACGTTTCTGTTTAAAAAAGCCTTTGCAGTTGATAAAATTTTTTAAACTTTTTTCAAGCTAAAAAGAAGTTAGTTATATTTTTCTTTCCTTTTTTTTTTTAAAGTATGTTTTTCTTTCATCATATAAAAATATTTCTGCAGGATTTTATTCCTTGTTGTATGTATTGTTGGTTTTTTTATTCTTTTCTTTCTGCGTGTAATGTTTTCGCTATCCGGTTTCAATCTATAAAATTTTTTGGATTTGTTCTTCTCAACTCGGTTATTTTTCCCCGCCGACTGTTTTTTTTTTTTTTTTTTTCTTGTTTTTTTCCATGTCGAAAAACATAAATATATTTTGTAAAACTGAAAATAAAAAGACGGTGGTTACTCTTTTTTTAATTTGTTTTGGAGTTTTTTCGCATGTTTGTTTATTCGATAGTTCTTTCTTGCCATGTTTGTGTTTTGTCTTCTTTTCTCGCATGCTTGTAGCTTATAATAAGTTTATCAGCTTATCATTTATTACTGCTTTTTTCCTTTTTATGCTTCCTTGGTAATTTTTTGATTTTATTATTTATCTTAGTTGTTTGTAACTCGGTTATCAGTTATCAGTTTGTATGTGTATGACTTCCGTCCGATCAATGTAGCTTCTATTTTCATCAATTTTCTAATTATATTACTGTGGTTTTATCTGTTGTAGTTTCATTATCAGCATCATTATCTGTCATCACTGTTATCGTCTTTTTATCATTCCTTTATAATGGTGATATAGATTCGTGGAGGAATGTAGTTTTTTATTGACACATCATCTTTTCACAGTTTCTTTGTTTATCAGAAGAAATGAAGCAAACCCCTAATTGTTTGTTCTCTTTTTTGTTTTCTCTTTGTAAATTTAATTTAATTTTTAAGTTGTTCAATGTTAGAAAATTTTCATTTCGAAATAACTGATAACTTTTTAACTGTTCTTTTTCACATTAAATCTGCGCAAGAAGCCATTTAGGAAGAAAAAGTAGGAAAATGCTAATTCGAATATGATTTGATATATGTTCCCAGTAGCTCTTTAAGCTACTTAAAAGAATAACAGTAGTTATTGTTTCGTTCTAAAAATGCTGTTAGCGCATCCAATTAATTAACGATTAATGATGTTATAATTAACTTTTTTATTTATTTCTGTCTCTTTTTTCTTTATACCTTTAATTATCATACATTAAAATTCAGTACAATTATATATATGGTGGTTTAATAAATAATACCATTGATAAAATGATTTTTTCTTTCCTGAAGTCTAAAATTTTTTTTTTTCAGATTCTATATATTTCATTCAATTTATAGTCGAGCTTGAAGCTATTGTTTTTTGCTTTTGATTTCTTGTGTTTGTTTTTTCTTTTTTTTTCCATCTGTAATCTTTCCACTTCTATCTTCAAAAATAATGATATCTATACATTACGGTAGTATTTGCTTCTTGAATCACTTTTTTTTTTTTTTTTTTCGCAAATAAACGTTTGTTATTTTCAAATATGGTTGAACTTGAATTTGCTCATTGCATATAAAAGCATAAATAATTTGCATCCATCTATTTCAATTAATTATTTTCAGCTTGTACAACTTTGTTTAATTGCGTAATTAACTCTATTCATATTCTATTTCGTTACTTAACTTTTTAAAATTGTGCAAGATTTAAGTAAAGATATATATATATATGTCTGAGGGAATAAACATATATCACGTCACACTTATTATTGATGTGTTGACTGATAATGAACTATGTTAAAGATAATGATATTTTTACGGAATGATTAGAAAAAATGATGCAGTGTTTTACACACACACACACACACACACATACATACATACATGAACACTCAAATTATCTTAATCCGTAGCATGCATGTCAGCACTGTAATTATTTATTATCAGGATAGATTGATCTAGTCATAATGGTCGTTGAATCAGTATTTAGCCGTTTGCTTGCTGAACTTGATGACAAATTTGCCGGTTTGGATCATTGCATCAAGTACTATATTTTAAAAATTATCAGTTGCAATTCTATCGTTGTATTAATCAGCAAGCATGAAGTGTTTTTAAGAAAATTTTTACTCGGTCTATTTTCAATTTTTGCTGAGTTTTATTAGAATGTTAGGAAATTTATACAGACCCAAGTGTTTTATCTTATTTTTTTTTATAGATATGTTAGAGTGAGTTTGATATCCCAGTTCTGAAAAAAAAAGTATTCACTCAAAGAAAAAACTTTTCCTCTTTGAGATTTTTTTGTTTGTTTCAAATATTGCTGTTTTTCCTTTTTTTTTTTTTTTTTAGGAAATTGCATGAGATTGTAAAATGTTTCGTGAAAAGTAGAGAGGGTGGTTCAGCAGTTGTTATCGGACCTAAATCATCTGGCAAACGTTCAATTATATCAAAGGTTCATTATTATTCATTGCTATTTTTTTCAATAGATTAGGATGATCTGTGATCCATTGGATTATTATCATCAATGGTGAGGTATGATACATCACAGTTGAATATTGTTGAAAAGTCATTTAAGCTTCTCTGTACTATTTGATGTTTTTTTTTTTTTTTTTTGATAAAAGTAGAACAAAGATTCAGAAAAAGTTTTTCCTTTTCTGGTCCTTCTCACTTCTTATTCCCTACGTGTTGCTTTTTCTTTTTCCTTTTCTTTTTGGTCAAAAAATTTTGTTTATACGTAATCGATTTTACTTCTTTAAAAATGAAAAGTGAAATTAAGTGACGTTTCTTTGACAACAAATTCTTACTGAGAGCAAAGAAGAATTAATTTTTTTTTGTTCCATCTTGCTTACCTTTTTTTTATCAGGTTGTGATGGATTATGCAGATGATATGGAAGTACTTTTCATTGATGGATTAATTCTAACAAATGATACTGAAGCACTAAAAATATTTGATTCATCTGAATCTAAGTCGGTATTGTTTTTTTAATTTTTGATAAAATTTGATATCATTTTTTGTTTTTTTTCACCGAATTATCTTTTTTTTTTTTTCCAAATTTCATTAAAGAATATAATCTATTTTTTGATGATCATTTCTGTTCATTGCAGTTTTTGTGACGCTGTTGTTTTATATGTTTTATTATTGGAAGAACTTGTTATAACTGTAGTACAGGAGTGGATATACTTTAACTGTTTGACCATATTTACTTTTTTCTGTTCCAGGAACAGTTACAGTTTGTTATCGTGTTTAATTTTGATCGATTTGTAACACGAGGTCGACAAACTCTTCTTTATACACTTCTAAATGCATCACGTTCTAGTTCTGTCTTTGTACTTTGTGTTAGTTCTCGTCAGGTAAGCTTTGGAGATAAATCTATTAGTTGAAGCTCTAAAATCTATAAATCTAAATTTTTGTGCCACAAAGAAATTATATGTCATTATAAAACATTCTAAAACAACTTTTATACATTGATTTGGGCAAGTAACTAGTTTTATTGATTTTTTTCTGGAAGTCACAAAAATAGTCTGGAAAGTTTCGAATTTGGATAAATTGAATTTCAGGACTGTACCGAATTACTTGAGAAACGTCTACGTTCACGTCTTTCCAATGCAGTTGTATCCTTTGCTTTGTCATCTATATCATTTGATGATTTTACAAAGGCATTTGCAATATTTCTGCATACTAACTTAAAAAAATATGAGCAGAATAATAGTCTCATCCAGGTACGCATTAGTTTTTCCAGTTTCAGTTTGAATTGTAAAAATAATTATTTTGTATTGATCGTGTTTAACTTACGCATTGGAATGAACACAGAAAAAGGGCTCAGATCTTACAGAATAATTTAGTGGTTTTGAAGATTGTATAATTATCATTTTTGAATTGTGTGAAGAATTTTAATCATTCAGCATTTTTTGGGTTACAAATGAAAGGATAAAATATGAGATGGAAGTTGAAAATAAAAGAAACTGTGATATTATCTTTCTTGTAAGTGCTAAAATTGAGAGATGATTTAAAATATATAAGTGTAAAACATTGATTACAGACATTCATTGCCGATGAATGTGTAAAATGTAAATTACGTGAAATATACGATGAAACACGAAGTTATTGCATTCTAAAACAGATCACAGCAACATTTCTGTGTTTCATGGACGCGGAGCATATCAAAAGTCTGTCAAGTCCTCATGCATCGCGAATATTTGTTGAAGCAAAAAATGCTGTTATTGCTAATGAAGATACGATGAAATCGATCATTTTAAGTGAGAATTGTTAAATTATTAGTAAATTCAAAATTCTTTCCATTTATAAATATAAAATTTTCTTCTTAGATATTCTCTTTGCTGTCTACCAATAGGTCAACATGTTTATAATAGATGAGATACATATGTTTGAATAAAGTTACCAGTAAAATATTTTAAATCAAGATTTGAGTTTTTTTTTTTTTTTTCAAAATTTATCAAAATATTAGGTTTGTTATTTCTTATCTTCCTGAAAATCTACTGTAAAATATTCAGAAGCTATTATGAATATATTACTTTGCATAATAGAAATAGGAAATTTTCTAAATTCTGAAAAATGGATGATATCCTCGGACTTTATCATTATCCATCGTTTAGTACCAGATGTTATAGCTATGCTGAATAAACATTTTACATATATCCGCCAACTTTCTGCTCTTCTTTCAGGCTTAACATTGCGACAACTGTGTCTTTTATTATGCTGTGTTCGTTTGGTGCGTTATCAGCGACGGCAGGATTTTACATTTCGTGAAATTATACTAGGTTCGTAACGCTTACTAACTTTAGCTCACTTTTTCAATTAAACTCCAACTTCATTTACATTTCTACACTTTTTCATAGTTTTGTTTCAGTTTTTACACCTTCATGTCTTCATTTTTAACTACTATTTCGAATCAGATATTGGTATCGTTTATTTTTGAATTCCCGACAAAATTACATATCTAACTAGTTTATAAATAGAGAAGCGTAATACTTTATAATAGGAATATCAGAATAGTAATTAAATTCTGGCAAATAGAAATGAAGTTTAGTTATATCCTTTTCATTTGCTTAATTTTAATTCTACTTAATTACAATTCCAGATTATCGTAAATTGGTCAACAAATATTTGCCAACATTGAATGTAAAAGATGACTTAATACTACTGAAGGAACTAGATACATTGTGTAGTCTTACAGTGTTGGAAGAAAGAGAACAATGTGGGCAGTTATTGTTTAAGCGAACATCTGTGCAGGTAATTATTTTTCTATAAGCATCTAATAAGATGCCGAGAATATCTTTAAATAACAAAATGTTATCATGCTATATTAAAACCAATTATGTTATCAAAAATCTTTGGCATTATAGCAATTGTTATTTAAAAAGTTGCAAATCTCCTTACAATTAGTATGTTTTATTCAAATTACTATGAAAAGCACTTTAATTATTTGATATTTCTTTTCAATTTTTTCCTTTTCTTTTTTTGTGAAAGATGTTTTTTTTTTTTTCAGGTTGATATCGATTTAGTGCTAAGTTGTGTAAAGGAATTTACACCTCTTCCAACAGCTTTAATACACTGGATAGATGATCTTGAAAAATGAAAGAGTTAATAAATCGTAGGCAATATAATGATCGGTTTTTTCTCTGACTGGGTAATACAAGAATATGTTAAAGATTCTTATTCCACTTATATCCACGATCTTCTGCCTTTAAAAAAAATTCCTTTTATTTTCGCGTAATATATTCTACCTTTTATCTTTGCGTAATATACTAATGAAAAAATTGATTTCCAACATATTCCACTTCAAATCTTGCATTTTATCTTACATTTTACTATATGCTATGCGAACGAATATCGTGGAATTAAGGAGATTCACCTTCCCTTCCCAGTTTTTTTTTTTTTTTTTCTTTTGTCAATTTTCTGGAAATTTTTGTACGGTGCTTTTATCAACTGATTGTTCTGTATACATTGTTTCAATTTGTTACATATTATCATGTTGTTATTACGCTACCAATATTTAATCTTTTTTTACATCACAATTGCTAATTCTTTAGTTCGCATATTTCTGTTGTCAGTTAGTTGCCAGTTTTACCAATTTAAGGTTGTAAAAGGTAAATTTTTCTTTTTTTCATTCACTTTATTCACAGTTTTGATTAGAAGTGATAATTAGGAGACGATACTATTTCATATTATTTAAAGTAAGAAAAATACTTTGCTATCTTGTCAGATTAGTGTTACACTTCGTTGTATTTTAGATTTTTCATTCTGAGTATTTCGGTATTCCGGTAGTGTTAAATTATGGGTCCTTTATATATTGATATTTTTTTGGATGCATTTAGTGATTGTTTTTATTTGTGAATATCGAGAAAGCTTGTACAGGTTGTAGATATATTCTGTTCCTGTTTATGTTTTATTTTCAATAGTGGAAAAGTGCGTTACACATTATTTTGCAAAAAAATAGGGATGCATTCTTTATTTATTTAGGCATAACTTTTATGATAAAACATTTTTAGATTATTTAGGTGCGATATAATAATATATATTATTAAATTAATTGTTAAATTATCTAGTATTCGCTTTAATTTTTTAGAAAAATGTGAACTTTGATAATTTGCAACGAAACGAGATAGGTCAATATTTGATGTAAGGATAAATTTATTACTTTTTTTTTGTTCTTGAAAGAGATAATCCGCATTGATAGCTTTAAGGATGGAAATTTTCAATTTCTATTATTATTAAGTTTTAGTTTAATAACTTATAAAATTAGGGTACATATTCAGTTAATATCAGTTGTTATAAAATGGTTCATGCATAGAGAATTTATGCTTCTTCCTAGTAGTAAACTGTAAAATTTACTTTATGTTCGTATTTAACTATATTTGAAAAATGAAGCGATGATAAACTTTATAATTTTAATATTTTAGTTAAGGTGTATTGAGTTGATATGTTAGTGAAGTGGATAGTGTGTAGATTCTGCTAATTGAATGTAGTGAGTTCAGTGCCGCATGATGACTGTTATTTGCTACTCTTGATGTGATTATGATGAAGCAAAATGTATAACCACCAAAATACTGTAACTGATGGCGCTTGCGCATAGCAATGATTTAAAACGAAAATTCCATTATGTTTCATAAATTTAAATGCAATTTTCTTTTCAGATTTATTTTGAGGATATATATTTTTGTATTAATGCAAAGTTAGAAATTTTTCATATCTTTGAATCTAATTCAATTGTTCATTAATTTCAATAAGTGATGGTAAATATTATTTGTTACAAAAGAATACAGAAATTCTTTGATGTTTGAAATGTTATATATTGTAGCATAATGAAAAAAAGAAAAAAAAAATTTAAATGATATGGTTTTAACAGCAACTTTTATAACAATTATCGTCATCATCTGTCGATAGTATCATGATAATGAAGTGATAAAAGATATGAATGGGTGCTAATAATTTTTTAAAAACTAGAACTTACATTTTATATTTTGAATCTTAAAAGGGAAATATTTAGGACTTTTTCTAAAGTCACTTTCAGATTGGAAGTAGTAGTGTTTAGCCTGTCTTAATTTTCAAATGATATACCTTCCAATAGCATCCATCCATAAAAAATTGTGGGAGGAAAAAATGAAATGTAAAATTCGCATGTGTACTCGATTAATTTTTAATAGCAGTAAACAGTGTTTCAGATCGTCTGGAATTTTCTTTTGCTTTTGGAAATTTAAAAATTTTTGAAATTTTTGAGGACTTTTAAAGTTAAGAAAGTGAAGACTTTTTTGTTGATTTGAAAACTTTTTCTTCCTGAAACTTTTTTATGTTCATTATTTTGTTTTTTACGTTGTACGCTCCTTTATTGAATTATGCTAAATTTAAGGATTGAAGTTTGAAAACTGATTACTTTAGGTTTTCAGATCTGGTCTCTACAAATTTAATTATTTGGATAACTTGAATTATGATAAGAGCTTAATTCGTTTTTTTTTTTTTTTTTTTTTTTTCATTTCAAAACATAGTGACACCAAATTGCGACTTTTATTAAATTTCAATTTTTAATTTATATTTTCACAGATTCAATTTCAAACTTGTATTTTCAGATTTTTTGTTAAAATGACATGCACAGAAGGAGAGCCAGGTTGTTCTGGTTGCTGCAATTTGGTTAATGAGCAAGAAGATACCAGAAAGAAAGTAAAAGGAAGAAAGTTAGTTAGTTAGCTTTTTCTTGTGAAAATCTAATTCATAAATATTTATTGTCTATTTTTTTGCTAGTTGCTCAATTTTTTCACAAATTTTTGTTTTTTTATTAGATATATTTCTTAGCTATTCTGGAAAAAAAAAAAAAAAAGATTTTGGAATCCTTTCCACAATTAATTTTCGGATTTTTTATCTTGATGCGGTTTAACATGGCATAATCTGTAGGAAGATGTTTTAGATTTGCTTCTGACAAATTATATAAAGTAAAGTGAAAATTTAAGTAATTTTAAAACTTGTGTTTCAGTCTTTTAAAAACAATTTACAAAAAAATCTGATATTGAAATTAGAGATTCTTTATATTTACATGTTTAAGTTGATAAAAAATCTTTCTTTTTTTCTTCAGAATGGGTAGCATCTGCTTGTATTTAATATATTTAATATCTTAATATTAAAAGTAATATTTTAATATTTAAGATTTATCATTACACCAGTGCTTCGGAAAGAAATAATGTGTGTTGAATTGCCGCTCATTGAATATTATGCAGTATATGTGGAAGATAAGTGCAAAATTGGATTGCTATTACAAATTTTGCCAAATATGCCATCAGAAGCGAATCATTTAAAACGTATCAAAAATGGATTAGTTCTTATCCAACCAGCAAATGATCCATTATCACAGGTAATTATTCTTTTAACTCTAGATTTGCTTTCATTCATATGAGAAATATTTGTTTACATCAGATGGTGGTGAAGGTTGTGGACAAATTATAGAGGCGTTGTAGTTCGAAATTGTTATTGTTATCTATTTAAAGTCATAAAATACTTATTTTGATAGCTTTAATTTGTTTTTTCCTTTTTTGAATAGAAAGGAGTTTCTACCGTTTTATTTCTAGAAATTATGACTAGTTATCATGTGCATTTTTCAGGAATTTATCAAGAAACTTCAGACCACGCTTTCAGATATTCCCATTATAAAAGTAAAAGTTCCTTTACATAAGCCAGTGACAAGGACACAATTTTTATGGGCCAAACAACATTGGCCTACAGCTTTTCATCCAAATAAGCAATATGAGGCACTATTAAGTGGGAACTTTTTCACAACCGATGAATATCAAAAAATTATTGATTTCTATTTGGAATCGGAAAAGGTTAAGATACTTATTTGTATTTAGGCCTGCGACTGGTAATTGCTAAAGACTTTAACTAACAAGCACATTAAAATGGTTTGATGAATTAATTATACCTGTTCTTGATAATTAAGTGAAAGTTAGGTATGATTATTCTCATAAGTTCTACAAAGTTCTTAGAAATTAATCAAACTTAGATGGTTTTTTTTAAGAGGACATGCTGTTGATTTTTAGTTATTGATAGCACATTTTTCGTCTATTGCGGAATAATAGTAGCTGAAGAATCATTTATTGTGATCTCTAAAGCTTTGAATTATTAAATCTAGCTGAAAAAAAAATTCACAAAGTTTTGTTTTTGGAGCAAATAAACTGTTTTTCATCAAATTGAAAAAATTTTTTGCAGATTAGTAACGGTGGTTCAGGCTGTGTTATTGTAGATTTGAAAGGTGAAGTTGTTGCAAAAAGTGGTAACCGGAATATACCTCTTGGACACGCAGTTATGGCTGCAGTTTCAGATCTTTGCGAAAGGCATCGCACTAAGCAAAGTAAATTTTTTGCATCTGAATTAAATAAATATTAGCAAAAATGAAGACTTCTCTTTCTCTTATTATCATATCACATTGTTTAATATGATTTTTGAAATTTTTATATGGTTAACACTATTCACAAGAGATTTGCAGTTGTAGAAATAGCTGAAAAAATCTTATGCAGTCTTTTACTTTTCATTTTTCCTTTCTTTTTTTTTTTTTTTTCGTGAGAATAAACGTGGTCATTTTAGGTGACATACTGCAATATCTCGGTACAGGATTTGATGTTTATTTGACAGATGAACCGTGTGCAATGTGTGCTATGGCTTTGGTACATTTTCGTGTTGGACGAGTATTTTATGGAAAACGAGCCCCTTTAGATGGAGTGTATGAATCGTGCTGGAGAATTCAGGAAGAGAAATCGTTAAATCATCATTACACGGTCTTTCGGATAGATGAATTTATCTGATGTATAATCTTTGATGTATTTTTTTTTATTGAATTATGTTACATACTTTGAAATTGTATTTTTTTTTTTTTTTTTTTTTGCTAGATAAGATAACTGTATTTTATTAAAAGTTTTCCATGTATAAAACTTATATTCGTAATATTTGCTAATATAAATTCTTTTTGTATAAAATTGGGTATAAAATGGAATATTCTTCAAAATGAAACATATCATATCATTACGTGTATATTCTGTAATTCTTTTGAATAAAATGATTATATTACAATTTTTTAAACCATTCAATTAAAATGTGTTCCTGTTCTTACTTTGCATACATGTGCATGTGATAATATAAGTAAAAATATATTTCTGATGACAAATCAATTGTGACATTAACACTTAAATTGATATTTAATGATATTATGATTAGGTATGATAGCAGATAATATATTACTCGTAGTTATCACTTCAATTACCATTACACAACTTTTTTTTTTCTTTTTTATAGAATTAAAAAATGTCAACGGCACCAATTGCGAAAACATTTTCAATGATATATGTGGATGAAAAGGATAATTCAATTGATATAGCATTGAGTTATAACGATGTTATGAATGGAGTATCATTGATTGCAGAGAAATTATCTTCCTATAGGAATTGTCTCATTGCTATCACTCTTCCTAAGCATCCTGCATTCGTTTCTGCTATTCTTGGGTTTGGTTTTTGACTTCTTTACTCAAGCTTACGTACTTTTTATAATTTATCAGCTTAAATTTGAATTTTATCATCAGTTTATAAAATTACTATATTTCGTTTATACTATCTTTTCGTTTTTGTTTTAAAAAAGAAAGAAAATTACATATCTTTAGTAAATACTGCAATTGTTAGATTAGGTATAGACATGACTTTTATGTAAATATTATTGAAATGTTGAATAAATAAGGAACTCTTTCTTTCTTTTTCTTTTGGATTATTATTTTTTTTACTATTTAATAAATTACACCAAAATTAATTTATTGAATTTTCAAAATGCTTATAGTTTAAATTTTCAGAGTTCTAGAAACGAAAAATTGTTTCGTTTGTTGTTCAAGCATTGAAGCAGCAAACAATTATCTTAGTGCTACGGTATCCTGTATCATTTCTACAATTGCTGCAGATGATAATCAATTATCAATTAATATACACGGTTTACAAATTTATTTTAATCATAATGGATATTATTGTTTGGATGAATTTGGAAAAGATAAATTATGCTATTTAATTACCACATCTGGTACATTAGGAAAACGAAAAGAAGTTTTTGTTCCGCATAGCTGTATAATGCCTAATATTTGGGACTTCAGGTTAGCATTTCAAAATTTTAAGCTATTTTCTATAAAAGAATCATTGATAACTTAAGGTATTAGAATGCATCACAAATTTTACTATTTTATTTGCAAAAAAAAAAAAAAGTATTTTTGCTAATTCTAACGTAATCATTGTTCTTAGATGAAATTTTGTTCAAAATAAGTTAATTCTTTTTTTTCTGATATTAGCAAATCCTTTTTCTTATAAATTCAATGCTATGTTTACTTGAATGAATAGAATAAAAAGTTCACAAATTATTATTAGTTAATAATTGAAATTTATAAGATGAAAGTGTATTTTGAGAATAGCTTTAAATTCTTCATCTTTTTTTAGTCGTCGATTTCAAATCACAACTGTTGATGTTATTCTTTTTGCTACGGCAGCAACATTTGATCCATTTGTTGTGGAAATTCTTTTAGCTGTAGTAAATGGTGCAAAACTATTGATTGTTCCGGATTCGTTTCGTTCCATACCGTCGAAATTAGCCGATGCAATCTTGAAATATAATGTAACCTTTATTCAGGTTAGATTTTCAATCCTCATGTCATTTATATTATATTTAGTTTACAAATTAATTTGAATTTAATAATAATTCAAAATTTCTATTTTCAAATTTTTATTTATAAGAAGATTATTAATGAAAATGAATGAAAAGAAGCTTATGCTAATCGAAATTCATTTTGTTCAGATCTCTGTTTATGGTAAAGAATATCCTTAGTTTTGTTCTCAATTGTTTTCCTATCTTTTTATAATTAATTAGCTTTTAGAGTATCCTTAGAATATATCTTCATTACATTAATGTAAGATTATGTTTTCAGTTTTTGATTTGTTCACTAATTTTAATACTATGTTATCTTTTTTTGCGTTAAACAGAGTGAATTTAAAACTAAGTTTTATTTCAGATGACACCATCACAACTGAAAATTCTACCTCATAATGCTTTAACAAAGATTTTTGCTGGTAAATCGGCTGTACGGACCGTAATTCTGGGTGGTGAAGCATTCCCTATAAATTTTATTAAGCATTATCATATTAATCATGAATTTATCAATTTTTACAATGTATACGGAGTTACGGAAGTATCTTGTTGGGCATCTTGTTATAGAATCGATTGGAAGTAAGTTTTTAAGCTAATGAATTAGTTCAAATAAAAGCAGAACAGTCAGGAAGATACAATTCAATATTTAGAGAAAGTCGTGTGGAAATTGGTGAACCATTATTGGGTACGAAATTTAATGTTAGTGAAACAGGAGAATTGCTTATTGGTGGTTCAAGACGATGTTTTATAAATGGTAAATTATCTGCAGCTTGGTTTTCCACTGGTGATATTGTTGAGCTTACAGAATTGGGAAAAATCTATTGGTGTGATCGATTTGATGATCAGGTTTGTGACAATAATCAGATTACTTTGAAAATTCTTTTTCTCTCTTATTTTCAACTTTCTATTCTTGATAATTCTGCATACAGCCAGCTATTTATCTTGCTAATAATTTTATGAAAAGAAAAATTGATCTGAGCTTCTTATTTTTAAACTTTTAAATATAAAAACACTATGTTGGTTGATAATTGAACAAAGTGTAAATTACGAAAACGGCAGCACTTTTTTTTTTTTTTTTTTTTTTTTTTTTAGCAAGATAAGCTAATACATAGTGCTTCCAAAATTCTGATATGATCAGGAAATGAAAGAAGTAAGTAGAAACAAATACCATTGTTTCTTATCAAATTCATATATAAACCATTCGTCTATTTGTATAAAATCGGACAATTATTGTCAAATCAATTGTGATTCTTTCAATGCATTGTTATTTTTCAGCAAAAGATTAGTGGAATCAATGTAAGTTTATCAGGTTTGGCCAGAAAAGCAGAAGAATATGATGGCATTCAATCAGCTTTAGCTGTACGCCGTCAACAGTCTATCTTATTATTTGTACATGTCAAAAATAGTGCAACAATACAAACTAATTTATGTGAAAAATTAGCAATTGGTTTGCCAATGATAGTCATTTTAGTGGACAATTGGCCAATGACAAGAAATGGTTAGTGGATAATGGAAAAAAAAAGAGAGCAATTTTATAACTTTTTATAGTTTTGAAAAAGAAAGGTGATAAGTGTTAGACAATCAAGTTAATCTTTAATTTTATTTTGCCATTGGATAATTAATGCACGCGAATCTCTAATATAAGAAGTTGCTGATTCCAGTTTTCGAGTTAAATCATTCTTATGCACAATAAAATAACTTCAGGTAAAGTTGATCGCCAAAAATTAGTGGAAATTTTTGAACAAAAAAATTTGGTCTTTACAATGGAAGATTTGAGTAAATTATTTGAATATCTTAGTAAGTTCTTTCATTATTTTAACATAATAATTGATTTCAGTAATATTTTGATGTGAAAAGAGATATTAAAATAGTGAACATAATTAAAAATTCTTAAATTTTGAAGTATTGGTTTATTTTTATTTGTACAAGAATATTTGATAATTAAATATAAAATTCCATTAAAAAACAAATATATAGTACATATTGATACAACCGTATATATTTTGCCTAATCATTTATAGTATTATTTATAGAGATTAGTCTAGAAATCAATCGAGAAATGACATTCAAAGATTTGGGTTTGGATTCATTACGTGCCACTGAATTAACTCTAAAAACGGAGCATCTTTTGAAACAGCGCAATTTTCCACTGTTGCAATATCTTCTTTCGGATACCGGAACAGTTGCTGGATTTCTGGACGCACTTGATTTTAATCAAAATATACGAGAAAGGAATATCATACACATGCGAGAAATTCGTACAAGACCAATAGAAAATTCCATCAAGGTCGAATTATTGTGGGAATATGACTTAGGAAAATGCATCGATGCAACACCTATAGTCGAAAATGAGTATGAATTGTACAATTTAAAAAATATATCTGAATTAGATTTGTGAGCTAAAATAATGTTGGATAATATCTTTTTATAAATGAAGTCACTTAGCTTGTGCTAAACATAGCAACTTATAAAATTATCTTATTTTGATATTTTAACTTTTATTTAAGTCTACGAATAGTATTAATGATCATTTTGATATTATCAATTTGTGTCATTTTTAACCTGTATTTAGAAATAGTTACTAAAGTAATAAGTTGTTAACTTCAGTGTTAAATTGATCATTTTACTTTGAAATTTCAATTTTTAATTAAGTTTAAGAATTTGTAGGACTATTAAAATTGAACATTTTGAATGTTTTTTCAGTTCAATCTTTCTGGGATCGCATTCTGGACGATTCGTTTCGTTATCTCTGGATGGTACTAAAGAATGGGAAGTTCAGCTTGATGATCGAATTGAAGCAACTGCTTCTTATCAAAATGGTATCATTGCTGTGGGTTTGTTTTTTCTTCTTTCACTTTTTGTCTCATAGCTTTATGACTATTTGAGATTTTCTTTTAAATTTTTTGCAACACCTGAATTCCATTTCTTCTTCTTCCGAATTCCAGCTTAGATGGCAGGCTTATTAATTAGACAAAAAAGAAATTGTTTTTCAATAAATCGTACGTTTAATTGACACTAGTTTATCAGTTCTGATTTTTGTACTTCAATGTTTTTTTATTATTTATTGCTCATATAATTAAAATTCATTTTGTTTGAAAAAAAAAAAAAAAAAACAAATCAAATTCATATTTATATT